TATATATATATATATCATACTAAAATTTAAAATTGTATTAGCAATTGTCAAAATAAAAAAGAATTGTTAGGACAATTTTCTAAATGATGAGATTAATAATTTACAAACTCAGTGAAACTTAAATTTAATTAACAGCATGATTTAATTAATAACAATTTAATTATGCAGTTGTAATAATCTGTCAGCAAATGGAATAATAATTGGCAAAATATTAAATATTATTTGAGATAGAATTAAAGAAAAAACACAAGTGAAGAAAAATTTTAATGCATGTTATATATATTGATAAAATTTGAAATATTAATAGTCTAGTTAAAGTGATATGTATACTTAAAATATAGGATTTAAACCAATAATTTAAAAAATAATATTGTATAAAATAGTTAAACATAATTGAATAATATGATTAAAAATTATATTTTCATTGCTTATTATAGATGTCAAATTATACTAGATGAAGTCTGAAGGTGAACGAAGGTTGAAGACATGCCAACGGATCTGTAGTGAGTACTCATGTTTTTCAATTATGATGGTTTTATTATTTTCTTCTAGACAAAATGCATCATTTAATTTTGATACTTATTTAATTGAAAGTTATTGCATATTACAATTTACATCATGGTAAACATGTTCAATTAGATGACTTAATCATAATGAAATAAATGACATAATTTAACTCAACATACTTAGGGCGTGTTGGGCGCCGCGTTTTTCGCGCGACACGGCCCGAAAACGCATTTGGATTTCTTTTCTTCGGTTGATAAATGTGGAGTGACTGCGGTTTTATAAAACTTTGATGAAACACGGGTCACAGGTTTAACCCCGCGGCCCATGTTTCGTATTATCTTTCGTTCGCTTTTACCGCCCCACCCCCTCCCTCCCCTCTCTCGTGACTGAGCTTCTCTCTCGAGTCCCAATCTCCCCTCTCTCGTGATTTTGCCCTAAAGGTAAGATCCCTGCTTGCCTCCTCTCTGATCTGTGGCTTCGTTGGTAAGGCTTTGTCTGTCTAGGTGGTTACTTTTCTCTCCCTATCCCCTCTGTTCTTCGGCTCAGTTTGGTTCCTTTGCTCTCCCTCGGCCCACAGTATTCTCTACCACTATTTTTCTGGCTTTTCGATTTTGCAATGGTTTTAACTTCTCTAAGCTCTATTGGGTCGATGATTTTAGGGTGGTTATGCGCTACTGTTGGATTTTACAATTTCAACGATTTTGGTTTTTTGCAATTCTTGTGATTTTGCATTGGTGGATTTTCTTTATTTTTGATAGGGTGATGACCTTATTGTGGATTTGGTAAGTGAAATACTTGTAATGCAATGTTGTTGGTTACTGATATGATGATTCAGCTGGTTGGGAAGGCAGTGGGGGATTTTGGAGATTCTCTGATTTTGTTTTTTTGCAATTTCATTTGTCGAAAAATGTGGTGATGGCTTGTTCTGTGAATTTGGTGAGAAGAGTACTTGTGGTGCCGGTTTTTGTGATTTTGTTAAGAACATCATTGGTGATTTGATTGGTTGTTACTGTGATGATTAGTTGTGGTGGTTGCTGGTGGGTTGGCCGAATTTTAGCGGTGGTAGATTGCTGGTTGGTTGCCCAAATTTTAGTGGTGGATTGCTGGTGGTGGTTGCTGTTAAATTTAGTTCAGTGTCGGTGCTAGTGGTGGTGGATTGCTAGTGGTGTTGGATTGCTGGGGTGGTTGTGGTAGTTGTAGTTGTGGTTGTGCTGTGATGGTTGTGGTTTGTGGTTGTGTCAATTTTGTGTGGTTTGTGGTTGTGTGTGGGGTGTTGTTGTTCTGAGTGGAGGTGCTTATGCGTGGGGTTGTGTCATTCTGTGTGGATTCTGATTTGTAGTTCTGTGAGGCTGTGATTCCATGTGAAGGTGTTGGTGTGGCGTTATGGGGTGGTGTGGTTTGTGGTTATGTGATTGTGTTTGTTCTGTGCGGTTTGAGGTTGTGTGTGGAGGTATGATTCTGTGTGGTTGTGGTTGTGTGTGGAGGTTGTGGTTGTGGTTTTGGTTTGTGGTTGTGTTGGTTCTGTGTGATTTGTGTTTGTGTATGGAAGTGTGGTTTTGTGTGGAGGTATTGGAGTTGTTTTGTGTGGAGGTATTTGTGTTTGGGGTTGTGGAGTGTGGTTGTGGAGTGTGGTTGTGGAGCTGTGGGATGTGGTTGCGTTGGTGTGGAGGTATGGAGTGTGGTCGTGGAGGTGTTGGCGTGTAGTTGTGATTTCTTCTAATTACTTATTCTGTCAAATATTTATGTTTAGCTTTTACTACCCTAGTAACGAAATGGTTAAAGGAAATGACGGTTCATCAGCTATGTGGAATAAGGAAACCAAACTCATATTTTGCAACCTCTGTCTTAAAGAAGTCGAACTAGAAAATAGGCCCACCACCTATTTTAATAAGGAATGGTGACAAAATATTATAAAGAGTTTCAAGTAAATGATGGGAAGGGAGTACGATAGGATGCAACTGAAGAACAAGTGGGATCAGTTGAAAAAGAACTAGAAATTATCGAATGAATTAAAACAAGGATCCACGGGCTTGGGTTGGGATCCAATCAAACGAACTATTGATGCTTCGAATAAATAGTGGACTGAGAAATTGGAAGTAACAACTTATCCATGAAAGATTTTCTTTTCATTACTTTTTCTTCTAGAATTATATGAACATATCAACTTCACCTTATATTGCATGTAGTGTCAGCTGCCAAGAAATTCAAATTCAATGGAATTGACCCAGATATGGAAGAAAAGTTGGACCGTATCTTTGGTGGGGTTGTCGCAACGGGGACTAATGCCTGGACCACTAGTAAGCAAGAGTCCGCAGGCATACCTGAGAACTTGGATGTCAAGCAAGCAACTGGCTCCGGTGAAGGCCTAAGCCCAAACCAAATGAAGTGGAGTTCACATGCAGGTCAAAGTGTACAAGGGTGGAGAAAAAGAAAAAAAAGAGTTGTTTTCATTAGAAGCCAAATATCAAAATCGGTCGAGCCTGAAACTTCACATGTGACCTCCATCGAAGATATTATCTGATTTCTGGAGGCAACTCCAGAAGTTAATGAGGACATGTTGCTATATTTGAACTCCATGAAGTTGTTGGAGGACCCGACCTGTAGATAGTTTTTCATGAAGAAAACCCCTGAACGTACAATTATTTATGTT